GTTGGACTAATACGCACTTGACTATGCATTTCTTTTACGATTGCTCTCAGGTTTTAACTGTTCAGCCTTTCGATAAAAATCACACGCTATCCACTCGCACAGCTGATGTTTGCTTTTTATGACAATCCATACTATTGCCTTAATTTTTCTTAGTTCCAAGTACTCCAGTCTCTGGATTAAAAGCACGTGCTACGGGTCCATACTCGGTCGAGGTGTCCTGGAACACACCATCCGATGAAGACATTCCTGGCATATTAGTTGGTTATGTGGTTTACTACAAAGAAACGTCAACAGTCCGCAACAACTGGCGAAAAGAAGAGGTCAATAACACGGAAGGTCCATATCCTAATTTTACCATCACATCTCTGAAAGCTTACACAACGTACACTGTAAATGTATCAACGGTTATTCTTGAAGGTGAAGGGAAAAGCGCCAGTATAAACATAGCTACAGACGAAATAGGTACGTTAGTTTGTTTCATAATGCATCAAATATATTTTTGCGTGACCAAATATGATCCCCGCTAAAACTGGGAAATATCCGAGGATAAATCTCAAGTGATATTTCCCAATTTTCCAGCTTTACGTCCTCTATAGAAGTCCTGGTTTAAAATCAAATTCAAGATGCGAGAGCATATAGCTATCGTTACAGAAGAAGGAAATGTTTGTTTGTTCATACAGTCGTACACACTGAAAATAAACATCCCACGCAGCAAACAGTGAGCTGTTTGTTAACATTTTCCTCGCGCGTTGCCGGCAAAAATCTATTCCTCGAAGCTCACAGTTTTCATCTTGGAACAGATAATGTCTATAGTATAATTATCATTATATAATTTATTAATGTATAATGCACTTCTTAACATGTAAAGATCAAAAGCGCATAGACAAGTATCGATGGATGTTTTCGCGCCAAGTGGAGGCTATTGATTATTTTTGCTTGAATTTGGAGATATTGTTCATAAACTGCCCCCACAATTTAGTTTATCAGTGAAAAACGGTCAATCAACTACGAAGGGAAACGTTTATTTCGAACTTTATGGACCAGAGAAACGATTAGAGAACATTTTGATTTTCCATAGACACGTTTATTGAAATATTAGGAAACATCTGTCTTCTGATTTCCCACAAAAACTATATGTTATCATTATTGAAAAGTATGTGGCTAATGTTTCTTCCCGAACTTAAAAATGACTGTAACGCTTTTGGCGGTCAACACTTTTCAAACCGTGTACTATGCGATTGGCTTGCGTTGATGTTGTAATGGCGAAGGGGGAAGGGGAGAGCGGTGACGCAGTACTCACATTTGTTGCACTTGGGAATGGTGATTTGCACTTAATGTTTAATAGTTTTGGCGCCAGAGCGTTGTCCCAGGGAGTCTGGGGACCAACACCCCCTTTTATTTAAAGTCGCGAAGAATCCAATATTGAAAATAACGGTCAGCCAGAAATAACGTAAAGATCTATAAGATGTATGGAATGCCCTACGAATCGTAAGTTACATTTCATTGAACTCTCAAATGTTATTCTATATTTAAAACAATCTGTATTTG